GACGCCTGACGGGTTGGCTAAGGAGAAAATTAGCTATCAAACTTTCATAATAGCATTTGACGTTAATTTCCTACGGTGTTTCTAAATGGAGACGTTATCTAGCACACCATCGAAGGGTTTAATTATGTTGTTCTTGCAGCATAGGCCCGAATCACTTGTACAGATAAAATAATAATTAAAAGATACGATTGTTCCCCACTATTTAATAGCGTCTGTGTACCTAGTATATTGAAACGCAATTTAAAAGTAGGCACATTTTCTGAGGTATTTTTTGCTTATTAATTTAGATTGTGTTATTTTTTTAATGAAGTATTAAAATTTGTACGTGATAAAATGTGATTATAAAGATAATTTCAAAAAAAAAAAGACAACATCGTTGTTTTCACATGTCAGCTTTATTTAAATTAAGAACTTGGTTCAGATTTAAAAAATATCATGCGACGAGCGATCACAGCCTACCGCGCCGTTTTTTACTGTGATAAGAATTCAGCACCACAGCTGAGACCGGTATCAATTGCCATTATTTAATTCGTTCGGTTGCAAGTGTTTGGTCCCGCAAAAAACGTTTAAATAAATTAGTAAAAATGTCGAAAATTAGCAAAATAGTGTTTAAGAGTTTACGAGCCAAAGCCCTATGTAACTCCAGGGTGTGAAAAAACTCGTTCGAAACTAATATTAATACGCTGAGAGATCCCGGTGCAAGCACCCGATGATTCACTTCTATAAATGGTGATTGGATTTTGGAACTGAGCCTTCAAATACCAAGTTCAAGAAAATGGACATGCAAACAAGAGCTATTATTCGAGATTTGTGTATTTCCCTGAAATCGGAATTGCAAGAAATTAAAACGAAGTTCATGTCGGTAGTTGAACAAAGTGATAAAAGCAATAGTGAAAATATCAATCGTGCTCTCAATGTAAATAACGGGCAGTGTATTGTACCGAGGATTGGAGAAGCGAATAGAAAATATACCAACACCAACATTTGCCAAAATCGCTCAAAACCCGAGGCAGGTAGGCGGTAGTACTAGCGAGGCCACGAAAGCCACGAAAATCAGCTCAGCGACAATCAAAACGCGACGAGTTAAGAGACATCAATTGCAATCGGTGGATCTCGAGACCGTAGAGGTAGGACATAGGAATAACAAAAATAATTCCCAAGAAAAGTCTTAAGGTCAGAATCTGCAGATATTATGCGAGGAAAAAATTGCAATAGTTGAGATTAGGCTTCAGAAAAAATAAAACATCTACATGTTTGGCGATTGAAAACTGATACCAAGTGGATCAGCTATCAACTTTGTACAAAATATGGAATTGATACAAAGAAAAGCTAAAACATAAGGGGAAAGAAGCTATTCCTCTTTTATAATCACCCTTCAGAGTCAGTTATCAGAAGTTATGCCAGCCGGAAGTTTGGCCCATTCATGAGAGTTTTCTAGTGGTATTTTTCGTAAATCAAGCAAATCACGAAGAATAATGCTATTTAACTACTATTATCAGAATGCAGGGGCCTTCGAACTGTTGAACAGTTTTTGTAGCAACTTAGAATATTTAGAAGCTGATATCATTGCTATTACGGAAACTGGATGTAATGACTCGATAATGGACGGCGAAATTATACCTGCAGGGTACCAAATTATTCGGTGCGACCGTACTGACGGACGTAAACAAGGCGGTGCATTTCTAGTGGCCGCGCGCGTTTACGAATACAAAGAGTGAGCCGATGCGAACTAGATGACGTCACGGTAGATCGCCACTCTTCGAACTGTGGACCGTTCACTCTAATGACAAATTATTGTTGTTGTGTTGGTAGTATTCTACCTCCTAAAATCAGTGAGAACGAATATATGTTATGTTTAAATTTATTAGAGCGACTGTGTTTAAAATACGAAAAAGTTTTTGTAGGCGATTTTATTTGATTCTATAATGGAGTTGTTAGAAATATTTTGAATTTTTTAAATTTACTGTATTTCACTCAAGTTAATAATTTCCGAATTGTAATGGTAGGCAACTGGATCTTGTGTTGTGCTCGTCATACTTGTGGGATAAGGTGTCGGTGAAGGAGGCGGACGAGCCGTTGGTGCTGGTGGACCCGTATCACCCGCCACTCTTGATTGAGCTGGACTACCCCCGATATACAAGGATAGGACGGGACGTGTTGCATAACTGGGAAAGTAGGACCGCTGAGGTAGGAGTAAATTAACTTGGAATTTCTATAAAGCAGATTTCTTATAATCACTCACTGAGTCTCGTGATTGGGGTGACGTTTATAATTGCGAAACCCTGAGCACGCCCTTGCAGGTTATATAATTGAACAACATTCTAGATAAGATGTCTAGAAAGTCCAACGCGAAAAATCATAAATGTAGCTATCCCGAGTGGTATACTCCGATATTATTTAAAGTTGGCTAAGTTACACAAACCTATAAATTAAGTGATCGGATAGGATTATAACGCTTTTGATTTCGAAGGAGAGTTAAGGCTAATCTAAAACAGACATTTCAGATATACGAACAACGAATTCAAAACAATTTAATTAAAGACCCAAAACTTTTTGGAAATATGGAGCAAAATCTTGCACAAAAACAAACAGTTTATAAAAACGGTGTGCAGTTACGAATTCGGAATGTGCGAATAATTTGGAAATATTTTTATTTGTGTACAATAACGAACCAGGAGACTCAATGTTGACGAAGCGGTGAGGGCGAGCGGCGGGGTAGTGCTGTGTTCACGTACCCGAACTGTCGCTAGCCGAAGTAAAAGTTGCGCTCGTTCGGCTGAAGCCAAAAAGCTCCGTGGGCCCAGATGGAATTCCGCCTTTCTTATTACGCGACTGAGGTTAGTATTGGCCAAGCCATTTCTACATGTTTACAACTTAGTCTTGTCGGTCACACTTCCCGGACGCCTGGAAAACTACTAGGGTTGTACCGATACCTAAAAGCGACGGCGGTAAAACTATCGAATCGTTCAGACCCGTTGCAGTTTTATCACGATTGCAAGATTCGAGTCAGCCATTCACGAAGTATGCAGCAGCAAAAGATACGTACCTAACTGACTCTCAGCATGGGTTTAGGCCAAAACGAAGTACGACCAGCAACTTGCTAATGAGCTACGTACCTGATTCCTTGTTGACTCCGGGTAGGTGGATGCAGCCTACTTCGACTACAAAAAGGCCTTCGATGTAGTGGATAACGATGTCCTACTTTCGAAGCTGGCAAAAATAGGATGCACTCCTAACTATTTGGTTTTTTGCCGTACCTAAAGGATAGGAAACAGTACGTGGAGTATTGTGGGTGTCAATCTGCGACATATTTTACTCGTTCCGGCGTAAGTCAAGGGAGCAATATAGGATCCTTGCATTTTTCGATCATGATAAACGACTTGCCTGACGTAGTAAGAAAAGCCAAGTGTTTGTTGTTTGCCGACGACTTAAAGCTCTTATTGGCAGTCAAGGACAAAGGCGACTGCATTAATCTTCAGGGAGATATAGATAAAATAAAGACGTGGAGCGAAAATAACAAGCTGCAAATTAATTTATCTAAGTCATGCGTCATAACATTTACCAAAGCAAAAGCCCCAATTCGGTACGAATACAAATTGGCAGGCGCACCTTTGGAAAGAGTGCAATCTGTACGTGATCTCGGAGTTACAGTAGACGCAAGGTACACGTTTAGAGACCACATAGTCAGTGTCTGTAAGAAAGCTTATAAGCGACTGGGTTTTGTCCTTCGGAGAGCGTCTGATTCACCAGTACCAGAGCAGAGCCATCACAGTGTGTATAACGCATTAGTAAGAAGTCAGTTGGAATCCAACGCCGTTCTTTGGGCGCCACACGAAGTTAAGTATAGCAGTTGTAGAGCGTATTCAAAATAAGTTTACGAGGCACTTATATCAAAGGCATTACGGGGTGTATCCTTACTACCCCTTAATGTATCCGACGTTATTCGTTTTAGGCATGGTTGGATACGCTAAGCTCGAAGCACGGAGGCACCTAGCGTTGGCCACGTATGTGTTCAAGGTGCTGAGAGGCATCACATATGACCCCACGGTGCTACAGTCCATCAGCTTCTACGTCCCAGATGCCTACCTACGACGACGTACTAGATCACTGTTCGCCATCAGTCCCGCGAGAACAAACTTAATGTATTATTCCCCGAATATGCGAGCACTTCACATTCTTAACAGTGTTAATTGTAAAATAGACATTTTTAATTGTACAGTGACCGAGTTCATAAAGACTATAACGTATATGTAGTAGCGTTATATGTAATATGATAACTATTAATTTTAATTTTATTTAAATGATTAATTGTAACTCACTATCATGTTGGAATTGTTATTCTGTAAAGGTGTGTGATTGGTTTTTAATAAATAAATAAATTATTTATCTATTTATTATTGACTAGCGACCCGTTCCGGCTTCGCTCGGATGCAATGTTGATACTAAATACACTACAGAAAAACTATGAACGTTGTATATAAGAACCTTCCTCTTGAATCACTCTATTTAAAAAACCGTAACTTTAAAGATTTAAGCGTCAATAGAAGACAGAAAAAGCGACTTTGTTTTAAACTATGTAGTGATTTACGCAATTTAGTAGTTATAAGTTAGCTGTATATGTTCTAAGAGCGATAAAAAGTTTCGAATTTTCATTTATATTTCTGCCACTGAGTCCATTTCCCTGTTTCGTAGGGTTTAGTCCTATCCTATATATTGTACGCAAAATACAGTGTACTCTTTATAACGAAACTCAAGGAACTGAGCATTTTTTGTCGTTATATCGTTATCTGGATTGAAGACAAAAAAACAAAATAACAAGAATTTTTAATCGCACGTTCACACAAACTTTTTCGTCAACACTAATCGCTTTCCGTTTTCCTGGCCATTTTAACAGTTTCAAAGTAGGTTTACGACTGATAATACGATAGGAACCAAGTATGCTTGGTCGAATACCATCACTTCCTACTGCACGTGTACAAGGCAATTAAGGATAACAAAAGCTAGACCGACCTCGGATGTTTCGGAGCTTCAAAGTCTTTTGTTACCTGATATCATAACATAAACAATAATACCTATAATAAATATTTACCATCTAAAAATATGAACAGATTTCTTCGTAATAGAGAATGGCGTATCGCTATAAGGAGTGTTTCAATGTGTGAGTTTTAACGCAAACCAACCAACTTGGGCTCACTCCAACGTTATAGGGAGTTTATCGTTATAAAGTATAACGTTATAAAGAGTTTACACTGTAGGTTCTTGCGTAAAAATACATCTAGTTTCAAAACCTCTAAAGAGTCTCCCAAAAGTGGGTCGCGTAACACTTCCATGTCGCATTGCATCGAATAAAGGCCGCGAAAGCCAGTCCACTATTCGGAAGTGATGCAATTCTGTTACCGCGTGCGTTACGTAACTGCTATTTAGCTTCGATTACACTCATCGCTATGAGGAAATAGTATTTTCTTCGCGATGTAAATACAACTAGCCTTCAGACTGTTAATAGTTCAAAAACAATTGTGTAACGTATAATGTGAAATAATAAGAAATTATGATCGATTCAAATCGTTTAAAAAAGAAACGTTTAATTAAACAAACAGGGGAAAAAGTCATATACCGGTATATAAATAAATGTTTGTATTCTTTATTAAATGTATAATTACATGTTGTTACATAAACATGTATAGATGCTTTCATCATGACAGAATAAATCTAGTACTATTTGTAGTTAACGCAAGTATTGGACTTGTAGAACATTTTAAACGGTTTAAAATGCGAAATGTATTAGTTAAGCTTATTCACAAAATTTTAACTACGGCCCGACGTTAAAGATGACTTGCTAAAGACGATTTACAGAATACGAAAGAAACCAGTAGGAAGTCTAAAGGACTTCCTCGCTCTTCACACAGCTTTGTGTAACTTATTTATTTTATTACCACTTTACATATTTATTATAACACTTTTTAATGTGCAAGACACTATACGTTTACACTAACGGTTTAACACAAAAAATATACTAGTTAACAACTCGACGTTTCCTATGCTTTACAGCAGCCGTGGTGTAAAACACCGAATATTATAATATACACTTATTTAAGTGCTTTATTTAAACTATTAATTGCTTTCTATGATAACACAACATCTGTTTTTGTGTCACGATCAGTCATTGTACACGACTATTGCTCTTTCGATTGTCAGCGAGTATTTTATCGCAATTATGTAATGGCGTGCTTTTTCGTTATGCTCCACGAATAACTAGTTTGGTATAATTTGAAGAATCAATTCCATTATAGCGTTACTCTTAATAATTACAATAATGTAACAAATCTAAGACCCTGAAAGTAGGTTTTTATTGACAAGATGATGTTCTCACATGTGTAAGGACAACATCTTAAACCACCTCAATGCATGCTCATTACGCTAATCTTAACCTATGTAATTATTAAAAAATATCCGTTTTCTATATTTACCATATACACATTTAAAAAACACCGGTTTAAAACGCGATATATTAGTTAAACTTATTAAAAAAATTCGGCCCCCCCGGGGGGGGGGCCCCGGGGAGGGGGGGGGGGGGGGGGGGAGGTAAAAAAACAATTTTTAAATAAGTTTAACTAATATATCGGCGTTTTAAACCGTTAAAGTGTAATTATTTAAAAATATCCGTGTCCTAATAGTTTTGATTATAAAAATCGTGGACACGGGCGGGACTTGAACCGACATTTACTTTTACATTTAAATCTTCAAATTATTTTCATCTCGCAGTTACGTAGCCTCAAATAACCGCATCGTTTTCTTACAAAGGCAAAGATATTCATCAGAGGCACTCGTACAAAAGGCCACGGAGCCCCAAATACGGTAGTGTTTCCTAAAAAGTGTACAGCCAAACGCAGTAGATAATGCAGTTACATAAACCTACTTTCACTGTGCTTTGTTTACGTGTTTCTGTGTTGCATAAATGTTTCGCTCGCCGTTAAGCCGTGTGTGAAACGGTAAAAGTGCAGTGTGTTTTGCTCGGTTCATAAAAATGTAACTATTTAAATAAAACACTTTAACGGTTTAAAACGCGATATATTAGTTAAACTAATTTGAAAATTATTTTTAACTTCGGCCCGACGTCTTCGGAGCTTTGCAGCAGCCGTGGTCACGGGGAGACTGGGGCAGTTAAAATCATTTTCAAATAAGTTTAACTAATATATCGCGTTTTAAACCGTTAAGGTGTTTTATTTAAATGTGTATCTCTCGCGTAAACTATAGACAGTATTTATAATGTGACTAATTAATAACCGCTATTTAATTATGCCGACTTTAGGATTATTAATTGAATCATTTATATAGATTATTATAATCTACTGTCGGTATTAGTATAGCTTCAAGGGGTCATTATATATATTAGATGTTTAAAAATTGTAAATGCGTAGTTATGTATAAATGTTCATTGGTCTCTTACTTAAGGAAAAAAGGAACCCCCTTTTGGTTTTCTTTTCCCCAAAAAAAAAAAAAAAAAAAAAAAAAAAGGAAAGGGAGGCAAAAACTTATTTGAATTCCATTTGGATCTGTGGTAGTTCAAAATTATTAGCAACTAGCTATGTCAGCGACTTCTTCCGCGAGAATCATTATTTTGGACATCCAAATTCGTTTTTGCAAACCCCGTCATCTTTATAAACTTAAGCTGTTAGCCACGACGTCGGTCGCGTCCCTTCGCATCGTTTTTGCAAGTTGATCTTAAAAGATAGACATATAGCGTCACGGACTTTTTTTCAGATCATTTAAAGATAAATAATTCTTTCATACACATTTTTTGGTATCTTAAACCGTGTTTTCAGCGTATCCATTTTTTTCGTTTCTCGCTGTTTCGCTTGTGTTAGTCACAGGACGTAGTTTTATAGCCTTCCTCGATAGCAACACAAAATGAATTTTTCAATTCTAACCCGTAGTTCCTGATATTAGCGCGTTCAAATAAACAAACTAACTTTATATATCAGTATAGATATAGATAGATTATGTTTTAAGCGTATTTTCTATAAACAGTAACATTAAAAATTGGATAACTTAATAAAACTAACAGCTACTGTTTTTTGTACGTGGATATTTACATCATCATCATTAGAGGTATATATATGACTTGCAGTGGAAAATTTCTTCAGAACTAATCATACAAATACAGCTAACCAATGTAAAATACACAACTGTTTGCTTATTTAACAAGTATTTTTTCTAAATATTGATGCTCAATTTATTAAATAGATATTTTAGAAAAGGACGAAAATACACTTTCAATAAAACATAACACTAAAAACCCCACAATTAAGAGAAAGCACTGGGAAATGTTGTACGGTCATGGGTTTTAATAATATAACTAAAAAAACACACCGTATACCAAATTAGCGTTCAAGGGGACAATAAATAGAGTGAAAGGTAACCGAAATTGCAGCTTAGGGACATAACAATGTAATCTTGGTAATTTTCCTCGCATACAGCCCTAGACCACTCTATTACATGTCATTATCTGCGTAGACTTCATGAAATTTAATTCCAATAGAATTAAATAAATTGCTTTTTAATGCCATTCCAAATAAGTCGGTGTAATTGCGTGAAACGGCCTATTTCCGCGTGTCGACAATTTCGCGAGAGTATAATTTACCTTGTTATGAACTTTAGTTTCGACTTCGGTCCAGTGCTTCTCAAAGTGAGTGTTAGAATTAAACATTATGAAACTTAGGTAACCACAAAAATGCATGGCTACTACCCGGGGCAGGTAAAGTGATAAAAACTGACTAATATTTTTTATCAATTAATAAAATATAGTATATAAAATTCTAAAGTCTTCACTTTGCATTTGTTTGACTTTGCATGTTGTGTCTGTCTGTCATTGTTTTACACATATTTTATGTTTAAGTTACATATGTCAATAATTGTGTGAAATTTCGACAGTCCTTATTTAAGAAATAAATAAAATAAAGTAAACTGTCTAGGTGTTTAGTAATTTTTCTGGTATCAGTGCAACACAAACTGAAAACGTCTGTCAATAAAGTTTGGAAACCTCTAGCATCTATGATTGTCCTCTTAGAAGTAAAGAGATTTTAATAACAGCTTAAAAAAGTGGAATGATCAAATTATTAGCATGTATATTAATTTAGGTTGATACAAACATGTAAATTTTATGTGTTTGTAGCAGACAAAAAAATATGGTTTGCACTAAACCAAACTATATATCTTATTATTATATATTGTTTTTTAATTAGCGTATACTTTGAGAAACTTATGGGCTCGATGGTACAACTGACATAATAATTATAAAAAAATACAAAATACTCATATTGTAGATGCATAATAAATATCTAGGAATGTCGATTTCATGTAATGAAAAAAAAAACCTTATAAATATCACTTACCTGTGTTAACCCCAATCTGTAGCTAGTAACGTCCAAATCAAGGGCGAGCAACATATCGTCGACGATCTGTCTGTCCGATAGGCTTGGTGACTTTTCGGTGTTCTCACCTTCCGATGTAGCAAGGAGACGGTACCTAATATGACATATTAAATTTTATTACCTTAAAATGAGACAAAATTATGTTAAAGCATATGTTATTAGGAAACTAGGATAAAATAGATCTAGGTCTTAAAATAACTATAATCGTTAAATACTGTCTATAGTTTACGCGAGTAGTACACATTTAAATAAAACACTCTAACGGTTTAATACGCGATATATTAGTTAAACTTATTTGAAAATGATTTATAACTTCGGCCCGACGTTTCGGGTGCTTTGCAGCAGTCTCCCCGTGACCACGGCTGCTGCAAAGCATCCGAAACGTCGGGCCGAAGTTAATAAGTTTAACTAATATATCGCGTTTTAAACCGTTAAAGTGTTTTATTTAAACTATAATCGTTGTTTATTCAATTCAAGTATTTCGTCAAAGTAATATAGTGTGAATAAAGCCTTTAATATTTCAGACCATTAATTAATTGATAGTGCTGTGCAACCATTTCATACCTTCTGGCGAATTCAGTGAGTGGCATGTTTTCAGGGAATCCTTGTTTGTACAACCTCGCCGCCTCGAGTAATTGGAAGCCGCGGAACTGCAAACATTCGTCTTGTTAATTATGAATGAACCCTCTTCTTTAAATGTAACGACGAATGGTGCTAAAATACCCCAGCTAAATAATCAAAGCAAGACGCGCTGCTTTGGATACGTTGTTTTGAGCAATCTACACGTAAACAATGACATCAAGAAAATAATAACTTAAATCGTGCGTACTTATATATATATTTTTAAGTAGTGGTAGGTAGATGCAGCCAGACATGCCTCTGCAGCACAATATCTTTCCTAAGTGTTGATACGCTTTTCGGGTAATATGTTATCGGACGGATGCCTCTAGCTTTCAGTCCCTATATTATTTAGTCTTAAGCAAATCATTCACCCGAATACACGTTAATTAATTAATCATTTATTTCTTTATAAAAACGCGTTTGCGCGCTCCCTACTAGTTACTTTGACTAGGTAATTAACAATCTATAATAAAATACATATTTGTAAATAATGCCATTTGTATCTTTCAGGCAGGTTCGTAGCCGCTAGATTTAATTCACTCGCAAAACTTCAAATATATCGTAATATACCTGCGACCGCAATAACGGTACGTTGACGTCATCAGACGTCTCATTGGGTTGATTGGTCAGCAGGCAGCAGACAAACTGAACGCCCCCTGAGCCGCAACGCCGCAAAGTATCAATGATACCGTCAGCAACAAACTTGGTCTGCAACGCGTAGGATCGCCGCTTCATTCCAGCTGTACCTGTGGAAATCGCATTTGTGTTATGTTACTATAGAAAGTAGGAATCTATACAAATACTACAAAACTGAAGATTTTTTCGTTTGAATGTGGTAATCTCAGGAACTACTGATTCGAATTAAAACAAACTTGTTGGGTTGGTTAGATTATTTATTGAGAAAGACCTTAAGGGTCTAAAACATCATGCTGCACCCAAAATGAGCGAAGGAATAGAGGGAAGTGTGGGAAAAACCCGGAAAATTTTATTCATCTTTGAAGGCGTTGTTCGCGTGCGCTGCATCTTGCAACAGATTCAAGATGTCCAAAAGATATTATTTAAAACGACATTACGTACTCAACATAATTAGTATCTTACCAGTTGTAAGCGTTCTTCGTATAGACGAAGCGCGTCGCAAAGTGGATGCGTCCCCAATGGCCGCCGACCACGTACCTGTACCGCATGCGCCACGGGACCAAGTCCATACACGCACTATTTCTTCGCTGGAAAACAAATACAATAATTAAAATCCATCACCCAGTTTTTTTATGTTAATGGAAGAAGTATATGGTATTTAATTAGATGAACTGATGCTTACTTATGACTTTCTTGTAATAGAGCATGTGCCTTTTTCGTAACTGGATTCTCGCGGCTGGCCTTAACCCAACCGGTAACATCATACAATACTGGATTTGTACCCTGAAAATATATGAATAAAATGTAAACTATGTATTTCAGTTATAAAAGCCATCCGGCTTGAAGGACCTCTATTTATTATTTAATAAAATCACAATACCTGTAAATGTTGCAAACTGAACTGTCTTGCCAGTGGTGCCTTTTTAATTAGATACTGGGTGTGATGTGGTGGACCGTAGTGTGTCATAACGCGTTCTAGGAAAGTGTCATCGGAAGAGTTCGGGTACATCGACTCTTCGTCTAGGAGCCTAAAAAAATCATTATTCATTTAGTTTATGCAAAAAACAAGTCGTAACAAGTAAAAAAATTACATATAAGAAAAAATATGATTTTGTTTAACCTAACATTAAAACTCGTATTATGTCATGGAAATTACAAATATCTTCGAGACTTTTTTAGTAATCGTAAATAAGATTCCAATCAAACCCTTAAAGAGTTAACTCTTACTCCTATAAAATAGCTAACCATAATAAACCACGTCGATCACAGTCACGCAAATCCGCCTGGGAGCTGCGTACAATGCTGTTTTGGGGCGATTTATCTAGAAGGTCCACCATTGGGCCAGGACTGACTGTTTCCGAGAGCCAATCTGAAAAACAAACACCAAAATAGATTTCATATTTGTATCCTTAATTAAATTATACTTGTATGAAGATACAATAAATATTTCCTTATTTCCCGTAGATTTATATTTATAGATAAATTATGTTGGGCTTACCTTCCTCTGTTCCATCGTCAAGTGTGATGCCTTCTTGAGCGTATCGTTCTCTCGGTGCGACTAACATAGCCTCGTGGAATACAGATTGAAGACGTTCCTACAATTGAAATAGATTAGTGACAGGCAGGATAAAAAAATACAGCGTTGTTGCGGCGCAAGCTGATGCTACGGCGCTTGCGCAGGTCGGGCGACATCGATTGGTTGATTGGTCGACGTAGACCAATACAAGACGACATACTTTAGTAAAATATAATATAAATTCGTATGAAATTTTATATTCGTTCTTATTACATGCTTCTTACTCGAAGTTTTCATTTAAGATACAGTCCACCACTAAGTAAACTATGCAACAAGAGTTTATATCATTTATCCAAGTTAGACAAAATCGTCTGCAGTTGCATACCGACCAAGTATTTTGTTAGTAAATAAAAAAAGAAATTATTAGGTGTGATATATATCTACACTATATGTCAATATTAAAGTACCTGGAGATAATTCGAAAGTAGTTTCGATAGAGGCGCTCCGCTTTGCTGACCCGCACAAAGAGGGTTGTCAGCGCCGGGTGTGTCTAGTAATAATATGGAGGAAGATGTTCGAGATGCAGTAGATATGCTCCTGTTAACAAAGTACCTCAGTGGTAAACAAAGTGGTCAGATTCATTGAGGTTAGAAAATATTCAAACTAGTTGATCAATCAAAAATAATTCATGAAAATGAAATAATTAATATAATATAAGCTATAATAAAAACAAGATTACGGATAACTATTTTTGGCTTTGCACATTTAGGAATCCAGACAGAAGTCAAAGGCGGACATACTCTTTCGGTTTTCATTTAATAATATTCGAATTACTTACCTATTAATCAAAGCGGCAACGATATTAAATGTTTCGTTGTAAAGACCGTTGACGAAAGCTTCTAAGGCATCTGATCCTGGTAACTCCTTTTCGCTGCATGGTGATGGTGTTCTACAACAAAAATTGTTACAAATACGGAAAAATCATGGCATGGATAATTCAAATTTATTATTAAGAGTATATAAATACATATAATTCAAAAATGAATTCAACATTTTAAAAATACAAACTTAAAATTGGTATAAAAGACATAAATGTTTTAAGAACGGATTACAAAAGATTCGTCGTGGTTAAACCGGGTAAACCCAAAATTTATAAGTGTTGTTACCATTACGGTAACTTATAGTAATTATTATTTTAGGAAATAAATAATATTAAAAATCAATCATACCTAAGCGCATGCGCAGGTTGCGGTGACGGCGGCGCAGGTGGTGCAAAAACAGCACGAGATAATTCTTCCACGCCCACGCCAAGCAAGCGACTGGCTCGAGTCGCACAGCCGCTGCTAGCAAACTGGTACTTCAGACCCGATCCTGTATTCGCTGTAAAAATCAATCCATTCCCAATTACAACTTTAAAAACATTGATAGTGCTGTGTGTAGGTGCTTATCTCTTTTAGCGAGAGGAGACTTATGTCTAGCATAATTATAACAAAATGATATTGTAATTTGGTTTATTTTTCTAGCAATGTAAACAAAAGTACATTATCCACCTAACACACTTACTTGTTAAACATCTATCAACATACATACATTACATTTCACATACTTAATACATACACACAACATGCAAAAATGATTTTTATCTACGGCCCCACGATTCGGATACTTTGCAGCCGTGGTCACAGGTCTCCCCGTGTATTAATACTGTCTGTAATACACATTTAAATAAAAACCTTTAACGGTTTAAAACGCGATATATATTAGTTAAACATATGGTCACGGGAAGGCTCACGGTTTGCTGCAAAGCATCCGATACGTAGGGCGGTATTTAAAATAATTTTCAAATAAGTTTTACTAATAATTAAGAATTTTTGATTTCATCAGTGGGACATTAATAGGTTGAAAGTTTGAAACGAACCTTTAACCACACCAGCCCAGCCCAAATGGCAAATCGCAGCCAATATCTTCCACATGGCCATCTGTTCCTGTTCAGTGACTCCCAGCATTTGGAAGGACTCCTTGAGAGCTATAAACTCAGTGGGCGCTTCCGCTTTCTCGATGGAGCTGATATAGGGGTTGGGAGCGTTAACTGGAGCTTGGTCCAATAGCAGCTCGCGACGAAGACGACCGTCGCAACCATGGAATAATCTGGGAAGTTTTAGACGATACTTAAAATGTTTGCTCAAATAATTATGACCATGACGATAAGAACGTGAACGCTCTCTTTCATAGAGAAACAAGACGTTAAAACCCTTCACTTTGAATCAATTCCATAGGTAAGTATAAAATATGGACAGATAAATTTTTATTCAAGTGAAAACATTTTAGAAGCGTTTTATACTTCTTTATAGAAAAGCCCGTCATCATAAAATTGACATGATTGTGTATGATAGAGCAATAAACGAATATGGTTATTTACCATATAAATGATCTTATGGAGTCCAATAAGGAAATTGGGGAAAAATCTTCACCAAGCCATACCAAAACGCAGACTATTTAAGTTTTTATTTCTGTAGGTACTATTAGCAACTAATAATTATAAAATATGCAACCCGCTATTTCCTTTAATGATTAACATTTCATCTTTTTGTAAAAAAAATTACATAAAAAACGAATAAAAATAATTTAAAATCAACTTAGTTATCTGTCGCTGCGATACTGCAGTAAAAATATAAATGACGGTCATTACTTACATATGCAGGGCTCTCAGGTGCGCTTGCTCAGGTCTAAAATCTGGCAATAGAGTCTGTACAGAGGCCGATACCAGCGCACCACCTCCGTCGAAGTCCAACGATGTCAGAGACACGAACCGTGATGCGTGAGAATTGGAGTTGGTCCTTAAAGACAAGAAAAAAAACGACAAATAAAAGATATGTAGTAAATATGTTAATTAAGCTAGTTGGACTTTTAGCGTCCCGTATGCAAACGACATTCTGTATAACTAATTTGGCAAAATATTAACTGCGAAACAGATGGCGATGGTAGCTGATATGACTTTGACATTAGGGACATCATCCATCTCAAGTCCCCCCGTGACCGTGGCTGCTACGAAGCATTCGAAGCCGTGGGGCGTAGTTAAATAAATTAAAACACGCATGATATGCAGCAGTCGCCGTTGTATTGTTACGATGTCTTCTTTTAATTCAATCACGTACCGACTTGAGCCGAATAAATGGAGTACGTCCAGAGCTGCTCCAAGTCTATCTGGGGTTAGTTTTGAACCTTGGGCGGCATAGACGCTGGCCAGGTACCACACGCAGTGCCTCATAGCCGTTGTTTTTCCTGAACCGGATCTGTAAGTAAATTAAATTATAATTAAATAGCATGGCACGGGTAAGTTGCGATCGCATTAAAGTCATGGGATCCTGGATTTAAATCGCGGGAGAATAAAATAAATAGGTTGACATAAAATTAATATAATCTAACATAAAGTTAAATAAAATAGTATAGTTATATTTTTAGTTAAGTCCATCTATGTAAAACAGATGCGCTGTCAATTTATTTGGCTTTAGATATTATTAATGCATACAAAAAGACATATACCAAACATTTCAATAATTCAATCTTAATAATATTACACAACCTTGATCTTTGTCATGTAATTTGTGAGAAAAACTACTAACTAATAAGAAATTATTAATAATTAAAAAAAATATTAGGATGGGTCCAATAAAAAAAAATATTAATCTTAACAAATTCAGCTTACAAAGAAGTAGTTTTCTGGTTTTTCTTGTTGTCGAAGTTAATTTTTATTATTAGATTTGCGATTAATGTTATCGTTCATGCTTGACATTACATTCTTATAGGGCTTTATGTTAAAACGTATTACTAAACAACGCATGAAGGCTGAGAGGTTCTGAGAAATCCTGAGGAAACAATACTTTCGGGCAGGGCATAGAAGGTTATTCAACTTCTAGCCTGTCATTTAATTAACCAGTAAAAATAAAAAGAATTCTTAGGTTTTATAATAATTATTGCTTAAGACTTTCGCCAAAATGGTACCTTCCAAGGAAGACGACAGCCCGATCCCGTCTCGACGCGAGCATGCATTTGTGGGCCGATTGAGCCGCAGCGAAGACGTGGGGCGGCATATCATCCATACGGCATCCGCGGAACATGGCCGCTACCTGTAAATGTTATTAAAGACTCAAGAGGTGTAAATACATAAATAAGATCTTCATGTTTCAGTCAATAAATACGTTAAACCTATGCGTATACGTTTTTATTTGGAAAGAATAAAGCGAAAAAACTCCAATAACAAAGAAAACATTTGCTTATTGTATATACCCTCATGTGTAATCTATATGAGGTATTGTCGTTAGTAAGGCGAGTTGTACAAATGTAAGTAAAACCTTTCACCGGTTTAAAACGCGAAATATATCAAGATCTCTTTAAGTACCGGACGTTTCGGGTGTTTTGTATTTTACCTCCATGACTTAAATTATTGTCGTATTAAAATATTTTGGGTTTTGAACTGATATGACATTATACAAGTATATAGGATTTATGTGGCTATTGGTAATAAATACAATTTTTCGCACCTTCTCCGTGTAAACGGGGGTTGTCCGCTTGGGTGGTCCGAGAACCAGCAAAGCGTGGCCTGCCCGAGCATGGTGTAACCCAGCAGCAAAACGCGAGCGCAGGACATTAAGTGCCCCACATTCGTTCAAACAGCGCAGTGATGCTATATCTTCTGCGCGTTCTAACTGTGGTGGGTTCGCCTGAAAATCGATGTTTTTAAGAGCAAAGACATATGGTGGTGCTTTTTAATGTTGCGTACCCAAAGACTATAAGAGCTATCTCATTATTATTACTTCACTGTCCGTCTGTCACTGGAACCGTGACATCTCAAATTATGCATTTCTGTTACTATTTTCTATTGGGGACACCGATAGAAGTCCCGGTCCTGGTCCAGTCTAGATACTGACTATTTCACCCATTTCTTCATTCCCTACCCTATGGAAACTTTGGGTAACCTAACTCTCATAGTGTCCCCTTCAGACCTTCCGGGTTGCTTGTAAAATCTTATTATTTGCTCCACCTTTACTTCTTATAACTGCAATAACTGCATAAGTTTATACATTGTAAATATAATTAAGAATATTTTTTTCCGCAGTAGGTGAAAAAGTTATGGGGCATGGGACATCTAACTGGTAAAGCAATAGCATGGTTTCTTTAATGGTCGTTCGTCGTGCTAAGAAAATATTTCTATGTGCAAGGGTTTTCCAAAACAAAATGCAGCCGGCTGACAGCAACGTTTGGTTGGGATTTCAAGTCTGTTTTGAGGTCCTTATCACAAGGTAAGAATTGGCAAAACGGTGCCCTGTCTAAGATAAGACCAACTCCCACATTCCACAGCCCCGTTGATGTATTTCTCCAAGAAGGTTTTTCCTAAGCAAATGATAGTTTGAAATCTCCGTTAGCAAATAAAGTTCTCAAAGAAATTGACTTAGTTGCCTCACCTTTTCCAAGTCATCTTCATCGACAGTGATCGTTTCGCCAGTCTGTATCACTCGAACTCTCACTCTGCCCGTATCTGCGTCTCCATCTCGCGTCACCGCCGTAAAACCTCCACGGTGCGCCAACCACATGTGGCCACCCTGCAGCCATTGTTTCTCGAATGCCAACTGCTCTTCCGACTTCGCCTGGAAAGAGAGAAATAAAATTTATTAGCATACCAGGGAAAATAAAGTGCGTTTAACACAATTTAGCAGAGCTTAAAATATCAACTGTCATTCATGTACAAACAGAATCGGCCTGAAATCATAAGTACACACAAGGAATGGGTTCGCTTAATGAATGGTTAAGCTCCAGCCCTATATTATCTAACAATGATGTGCCGTCAACCATTTTTAATTTGGTTATTTGTTAATCCACAAAAGGAAGATCGAAACGCAGATTTACACACACGGCTTTTTAGTGACCTTATTTTTTATTATATTTTTTTTTTACAAATTTCGGCATTCCAGCCCCAGATATATCCTGTCCCGATTTACCACATGGATATAATATCCCACGCCCCTTAAATAGTCTACAATAGGATCCACTCGAGACAGTCAATTAAACCATATTTTCTTAATATTCGTTATAACCTTGATCGTAGCAGGAATTTATGTTAATTTTATTTAGGAATGTATTATTACTTATAGCGAGGACGTTACAACCAAATTACCTCTACATTGATATTAATATAACCATTGTTTTATTGGCGCGTAGGTAATCAAAGTAATCATGCATAATAATAATAATCATGGACATACAATTCGTCCACATAATATAACAAAGAAATAAATTGTACTTAAACCTATACAAAAAATAATAATTGGGTCATATTATGTTATTGAGATCTTCTGGTAGTTCGTGAAAGTGTATTTTAAACAAAACGAGACTATTTCTAATTTTTACTATAACTTAACATTAAAATAAAACACTTTAACGGTTTAAAACGCGATATATTAGTTAAACTTATTTGAAAATGATTTTTAATTTTGATGTGTCCCCGTGACCACGGCTGCTGCAAAGCATCCGAAACGTCGAGCCGAAGTTTTCATTTCAGAAATCATTTTCAAATAAGTTTAACTGATATATCGCGTTTTAAACCGTTAAAGTGTTTTATTTAAATGTGTACTACTCGCGTAAACTATAGTTAACTTAATTTTTGTTATCTAAAGATTGCTACTTGCATGCGAAAATTACACAAGAGTTTTCTCAGGCGCCGTACACAAATCATGCATACTAAATTACAACGCTCGGTAACTTTTACGCAAATTAACTTAGAATGTCTACGGAATGATCACATCAACGAGTCTTGGCAGCTGGGTCAATCGCCAATCATTAGTAATACGTTGAGAAATGACGAGCTCCGGTATATTTGCACCCGCAAAGATTATCTACGAGTAAATGAATATGGAGGTTCTAGAAGAGTCTATTTAGCTGCTATGATATTTTATGATAGAGGACGGACACAAGCGTGAGGTCCATGCTGGAATACGATTTGTACATATTTTTGGCTTTGGACATTCGGAATTTTGCAAACCAAACGAAAATGAGATAAAAAATTTACGATTATTGACGCGGATTGAATAATGACATTCCTACCACCTATTACAGAAAAATTAATTTCTGTCAGTTTACGTAAATAATACACATGTAAATACAACAGTTAACGGTTTAAAACGCGAACTATATTAAAAAGGACCAAAAACCCCTGGGATCACGGCTGCTGCGACGCATCCGAAACGGAATCTAAGTATATTAGTTAAATAATTAACTACATAATCATTTACCTTTTGGGAATTGAACCTAGGACTCATTAAATTCAAGCTATATATTGCTACAACGACACAAGTCTACAACGACAAAATGTCGCAATAATAATAAATCTTTCATGTATAATTGCTTGTATTTCATGTCTATGTGCTAGGATAAGAAAATATTATGTAATTTTTAAATACATGTATTATTAGAATAAAATACTGAAATATCCCAACATATTGAAGTAACTCTTAGTATGTTAAAAATTTAATTCCCCTACAACTATACCCACTTCCGGCGTTTATCCGCCTCATTTTCAAAAGAGCTACGACGTACTTCCGTAACAGGTGTATAGGATGTAATCTACACATGTTACTCAAGAAATAGGTGTCACAATAAATTGGCTTCACCCACGTACAACAATATTAAGGAAGCATTTACGAATAGCAATTTAAAAGTCGAAACCTACGCCACATAACAATAATTGTTTGAAGCAATTATCCGTATGTATTTATAAAATCTCGTAATTGTTCAACTATTAACTTAATTGCGAGTTTATAGCTGAAACCAAATACTATGACTAGGTGACTAGTTTCACATACCTTTTTAACGTAGATATACAAAAAAGTATTTATTCGTGTTTTACACCGTTAAAAGTGTTTTATTCATTGTTATATACTCGCTACACTAAATGTAACGATTATTCGAATATTTAAAAAGATATAACTTTTTTTATGATAAAGGAGAATAACATGGGGCTAGGTAAAATATCCCAGCCATATATTATATGAAGATGCGCTCGGCTTTGGTTATTTGAAATCTCTGTACACCGAAAAGCGATGAAACTACACACTACTACTACACTACTATACTTCATTGAAAAATAAGGTTTTGGTTAGTTTTAAGTTTTCAAAATACTGCATACTGCATGATTGCAAAATCAATAGGTCACAGCGCAATATATCTTTATTCAAAACACGTAAACAGTTTTTGCCGAGTTGCATGCAGACTTTTAGCCTTTAATACGAAGTCTGTATACCTTTTTAAACGTACGTAAAGAATTTATTTTAATTTAACACTAAGTTTCAATACAATACATTCAATAGCATCTACATATATTGAAAAAAAAGTGACATTCCGTTTCCCCTCGTGGGGCATGGGGCTAACACATTTTTGTGTCCGTTTCACTGATCGGTTTTATTTACACGCAAGTAGGTGATCAGACTTCTGTGCCCTGCCCGACCGAAACATTTCACTGTTTCCCCGGGATTCGAACCCAGGACCTCTCGCGCTTAACGCAATGCTAAGCAACACGTTTAACCATTTAGCTACAGAGGCGGTATATATATTTTTATCTCCCTAAAATATCCAACCTTACTCCTTCGACAATTTTGGTAGCAAAGCTTGTATTTCTTTTATAACTTAAAAACAAACGAGTGTCGCTTTTCTATGCAGTCAATACAAAACTATCCTAAGCTTATAAAAAGCCATCAGCGAGTCTTAGAAAGCATGAGCGCTTTTTTTCAGCATGCCTCATATCAAATAACTAGCTGTGTCAGCGACTTCGTCCGCGTAGAATAGTTATTTTGGACATGAAAATGTATTTTTGCAAACCTTTATAAATTTCTTCTTACAAATTTAGGCTATTACCCACGACGTCGCTCACGTAGCGCAGTTCATCGCAGAGCTATGTTTTATAGTTAATAGCTTTCCTCGATAAATGCTTTAACCAACACAAAAATATTTTTTCATTTCGAACCAGTAGTTCCTGAGATTAGCGCGTTTTAACAAACAAACTCTTCAGCTTTATACATTAGTATAGATATCCTTCCATGAAGCTATTCAGTTGCTCAAGGCCTTAGTTGCATCTAAGCCTTTATTAGCCCCGCACAGCAGGACATAAAGCAGCCAAGGCGATATTCAAACGAGCTAACTTACTGCGACGTTGTCAGCACTGCGCAACGGAACACCAACTGCGCTATCCGGGCTTGTTTATTGAGTTACTGTGCATTGTTTACTGCTTTCGTCCTATCAATGTTGTATCGAAATTAACAAATTATCTTACTGCTGTTTGATAACAGCATTCCAGGATCCAGAATTCCTCGGAGCAAGTCGTGTTTTCATGAGTACAGTTCAAACAGGCGCTTAGCTTTTATTATTATGTTGTATATAAGATATGTTTTGTTTTATTATTCAACGATAATAATTATCTTTTGACAAAGAATTTTAGGGTCCGCTTCTTTCTTTAGGTCGTCTTTCCATCTATTAAGTTGTCATTTCTATTTCTCTTTGTTACTAAGTTAGTCTATACTTGTTTTGCTAAACAATGTTTACAACAACCTTTTTGATTATTATTTTTTATTACTCGCAAATACTTATAACCAGTCTCACCCGTGACATCTAATACACATCGGGTTCCGTAGATAATATTAAACACCTCAAATTCTGGTTTACGTCAGTGAACCAGAATTTAAGGTGTCTAATATCTAGCAATTATAATAGACAACTTGTTGTAAACAACTACCCGCAATCTCTATAGTTTTCTCCAGTTTCATCCAGCTGTCTATACAAACCGCCAGCCATTTCATATCTTGATACCTACCGCTTGAAAACTTCACGCCCTTTTATTAGTGTACAAACTGGGTCATGTATTTACCGTCTCGTTTTACTACTTAGCAGATGCGCAACCATCGTAAAGCTGACCTACAAAAAAGTTTTTTCTATACGCGCCGGCGCGTGCCTGCCTTCATTTTGAATGTGTAAGAACAAAATTCTGTCAATCTTTTTTTTAACTTAACGGCCGACGTTTGTTTGTTTTAAACGAAATGAACAATGCGACTCTTATACAATATACGTAAGACTATTTTACCCCTATCGCCTACTAGATGCCTTAGCAAATCTTTTTTTTTATAATAATGTGATTAAATATTGAAGTATTATAATAAATTTAAACTCTATTAGTAGTACTAAGCATACGATAATATTATTCATACTTAGACAAATACCGTTACTTCGTTCATAATTAATGGCGAACATGCAAGGTAGCCGCATTTATAAATGACAAGTCGGGCCCGTCTTTGAAAAAGGAAACTAGTCTTCTAATTATGGTCTCTGTTCGTTCCTATTTCATTTGCATATAATTTGACGTTAACATCTTTCACACCGTGCTCGTGTTTCAAACCGTTTAATTAACGGAAACACGACTGAAGCTAATCTTGAAATAGATGAGGAGGAATTATTGATATGTTTTTGTAATAGTGAAATTCCGTCTCACCGTAGGGCAATTTATGGACCTACCGTGTTGAGAGTTGATTATTTTATCGAAATTTAATTCCATAGATATATGATAGGCACGTTGAACTATAAGCTGATCCCCAAAAAGGGCACACAA